TACATAATGATACTATGAATCATGAATTCTTTATCATAAGAACTATATGTTTAGTATAGAAAACTCACTACGTAACTGCGTGTAGGTACTACTATTACATTGTGATAAAAATTAATTTGTACACCATGAATATAGTTTAGAACTCAATAACGTTTACCAAAGTTGAATATATATATTTTTTTCGGCATATATGTGCGATTAATTTTTATCACAGAGGATTCCAAGTTTCAACAATTTAATATAATATAAATAAAAAAGATTCCCCTTATCTTTAGAAGTTGTGTTGTCATGTCCAATTAATTTACATTATTTTGCAGAAATTATACACATTCTATGATTACTAAAACGAGATGTAAAAAATTTTGGACAATATTTGCAGTTTATTTCAGAAAAACATTAATTTTTATTGAGACGTTATATACCAATATCCTCTTTTAATGTAAATAAAGATTTTTATAGTATAGTTTTTGTAATGTAAACTTTAAATAAAATATCAATGTAAGTATTTATAAATATATATGTATACATATATGTATATCAAATTTGAAATAACGTGAAATTATTTTTTACTTAAACACGTACAAAGTCCGACATTAAAAGAAACTATTTTATTTTGTGTCTTGCTTTATTTCAGTATATTTCTAATAATTCTGTTTTGTATTCACGATTCCTTAAAAATAATCTCATTTGTTATGATATGAGATGTACTATGCATACAATTCAAATAAAATTGTATTAGTTAAATTAAGATGTAGATAAATATCTTATATAGATATATAAGATAAATTAAGACAATTTTGCGTACGTGTTTGTCGTATAATTTAATTTAAAAAAATGCAAATTAAAAGATCTAAAATGTAATACAGAGCATTCTACTAGCAAGTTTATCAGACATCTGACATTTCTTTAATTTCTATAAAGATATACTTGTGGATGTATTCCGATTGATGAAGTAGGAATAATTTTACTTCTATACTCAATGTCAGAAATAGACTTTTTGTATATGGTAAGTGCACATATAGATTACTTACATATGTATGTACCATTTAATAACGTAACTCTTACCGTTAAATAGGATATAGTTCCAATGTGTTTAAAAAGGATAGATGTATTTAAAATCATAGAATAAATTACCACGTAATATATGTGCGCAATCATCAATAAAAAATTTATTTTTTTAGGCCATCAAATTGTAACTTACTATTTTTTCCGTTACTTTTACGTCCATTTCAGGAGCACTTAATTTGTAGAGTTAAATACTGCAAAATTACGTACTACAAGAAATGTTTTCTACAATAAACTTATGGCTTTCATTACAGATTCAATTTTTTTAAGATTTAGTAGAAAGAAAGATGTCTTCAAACACCGAGAATCGATAGAAGAGGAGATAAACAAGTACTTGGGGAAAATCCATGATTTCACGACAAAGATGTTTATTCGGTATTACTGTACAGTTTTTTTCTTTTCTCGTCAAGAATTACCTTCATAACGTGCGTACACGGCGGCACAACAATGATGAATCCTTTGGATGACAAAAAGTTCATCGAAAAATGTACTACGTCACATAGGACACTCTAAGAGAGCGAGTACGTACGTGCATGTATGGTATGCGGGTGGAGCTGTCGTTTTCTTTTTTTTTCAATGTAATTTCAACTTTCAATGTCTTATTCATTCGTTACAATGAAATCCAGTATTTCATAACAATGTGAGTTATACGCTACATGAGACAGTAGGCCATGAAATAATTATAAACAAGCTGAAGGCTTGGACAGGGCCAGAGCGGTCCACACAACGAGACGTGTTATAGTTTTAAATTATTTCTTGTTCATTGCCGTGCCGTCGTGCCCCGCCAAACCATGAAAAATCCGAGCTTTTCTAATGATTTCATGGCATCCCGCGCAACCAGAGACAGTCGCCGCCTTTCCCATTGAGCCAGACGACGCTGCCTTGGCAGTGACGCACTAAAAACTATATCAGCAGTATCTTATGCGGATATCGCGACTTAGAAGGCGAACAAGAGTAGGAAAGCCATCATAAGACAAAATAGACCCATGGCCTCGGACAAGGCAAAGCCCAAGATGGCGTACGAGAATAGTTGTTGTTTCAAGGAAGGATTCCTGGCGTAGCCGATGATCAGCGAACCAAACACGGATCCAATTCCAGCACCTGGAATAGCAATTCATCGACTATTACAGAACGATACTGTTTCTCGTGATAAATGATTTTATTGAGAGTATCGATGTTTGTACCAAGTATGTCGTACGTACAACGCATTATATAATCTATATACATGCATCTTACTTAATAAAAAATATTGGGATGTAAAATCGTCAAATAGTTAAATACGTTTTCTTAAGAGTCGCATGCAGTAAATAAAATTGTATCTTATAGTTTCACTTCCATGAGGAGGGGTGGGTTCCAAGGAATTGAGTTCAAAAGGCAAACAGTATAAGGAACGCTATCATCAGACAAAAGAGGCCCATTGCTTCAGATAGCGCAAATCCAAGGATAGCATAGTTGAAAACTTGCTGCTTTAGGGAGGGATTACGTGCGTAGCCAATTATTAAGGATCCAAAAACCAAACCAATACCAACTCCTATAAAACGTAATTTCTTTAAATAACAAAGTAATAAAACAAAGCAACATGATATAACATATGATTTATTAAATTTACATTAATTCTTCATTAGAAAAAGATTTAATCTATAACATTTCTAACAGTCTGACCAATCTATCATTAAAATCAAGAAAGATAATCAGACTCCAATAATCAAATAAAAAACCGAACAAAGAAATAGGCAATAAGAGTCAACACAAGACGTTATGTATGAAATATATATAATTTAATACATCGAAATATAAACAGTTACGTTAGACGTTTCGATCACACAAAGTGATCCTCTTTAATGACAGTTATACAATAATTTTTCTCATTAATAGAGATGATTTTTAGAATCGATTTAAATTATTCATTAAATTTGTCTCACAGATTTATTACTATACAAGTTCTATCATTATATCTTAAGACTGGTCTTCACAATACGCGGAGTAAGCCCGGAGTAAGAGTAGGAAGTAAGAAAATCGTAACCTTTTCCTTTTGGTACAAGGAAGCTAAAGTACAAGTATGATTTTTAAAATATTTGTAGTATTGACCGACCGCCCTCTGATTCACCGAGAGTGAGCATACGAGCTGAAGTAAGAACGAGACATAAAATTGACTTATTTCCTTCCTCTCACTCTTCCTCTTTATGCCAGGCTTCCATTTATTGCAGGTCAGCTTCACTATTAGCTGTTATTGCAAAAATGTTCTTCAATAATTGATAATCATATACTTTTGCAGATACATACCAGATCCCGCTACTCCCACGGTAGCAGCACCGGCGCCAATAAACTTCGCAGCGGAATCGATGTCACGACTGACTGTGGAAGTTTTGAAGTTGCGCACAATAGGCGACTGTACCAAAGTACACGACACGAATTAGACATCATTAATATCAGCTCATTACTTTTAGATATATTCGTGGCAGAAAATAATTAGGATCTTGTTTTCTCAAGACTTTGTTTTATCATTTTTTTTGTAATATTTAAAGTTTTAGAAACACACAACCGTAAACAAATATCTTTGAAAATGTACAACGTAGTTTTTCACCTCTCGAGCAACCTCACCAACTAAGGATTAATATAGAATACGATAACAAGGATTAATATAGAATATGGTAAAAATATTTAACGATCAATTGACTTATTAATAGTCAACTGAAATGTTTTAACTATCAGTCTGTTAAAGTGGAAATCTGTTTTAAGATGCATATACATGTACATATCAAATGCAAACTATCCAACAGTGATAACTTACAAAATATTCAAATGCCATCGAATTTCTCGCAAATTGACATCTAGTTCTAATATTCAATTAAAGTACTCGCACTTAAGCTCAATATACAATTATCACATAACTTTATCGATCGACTTGAACCACTGGAACAAGCAACAGCGACCTATATATTTTTTTCGTCTCACTAATAAGACACAAAATCTCAAAGTTATTAAAAAATCACGTTGCGAGACTCAAAATCTCTATCTCGAACGGCGACGCTGGTCACTTATGTAACCTTGATCTCGAAAAGTTATGCAATGTGCGTGGAAAAAGGCACTCACCAAACTGACGGGCGTCTGAATTTGATTCTGCTGTAAGTATTGGCTATGACTGATTACAGCACTGCTCAGTGGCCGCAGATAGGTCTTGGTGCCGGAGACCAGCTGCGCCGGGATGGGAAGAGAATCGAGTGTGAGTTTGAGAAAAGATATGTGGAACACAACGGGGTTATTATATAATGCACGCACGCACGCGGAAACTCGTCGCGAGATCGCTCCCGGTCGAGTTTCTTTGCCCCCCTTATTTCTCTTCTTTTTTTTTTCTACTCACGGTGGATTTGGCGACAGGCGCGATGAATCGGCTGCAGGCGTACATGGTGACGTTTGCTGTGATGCGGTGTCTCGCGGGACGCTAAACTCGAGGTACCTGGAAAATGAAAATACACACGGTTACGGAGACCAGCGGCGCGACCTTCGTGGAGCGCCGTGAAGTTAGCCGCGACGAGGCTGCCCACGCGCGCCGTACAATCGTGAACTTGTCCGCTGTCGAGCGTTACGTAACGACCGTGCGACGACCGTAGCCGACGGGTCGCGAGCGAGCGAAGGAGCGGAGGAGCGAGTTGCCGGAGTCGCGGGGCTCGCTTCGGGCGAACCTCGGGCCAGCTTTTTGGGCAGACGCGCGAATGCCGTACGTCGATTAATTTTGACGGTAACGACGACAAATGCCGGACGGCGAACCCGCACCACGTTACGGTAGAAAATGGCCGCTTTCAAGCCTCCGAGCCGCACACAGTTGACCGTAAAACACGACCGATCGAGCGTATATTAGAATCAGCTAGCGTTCTCCGTAAATCCCGACGACGAGGCGCACAAGACGCGAACTTTTTCTCTCACGAGCCACGCGACACAGCATTTGGGATGGGAACGGGACGGCCGCGGAGCGCGGAACGATTTCTACTCACTTGCTAGATAGCAGACGGACACACCAAGGAGCAGTGTCGGAGAGACGGGTAGACGGATCCGAGCCTTGGAATGTTAAGTCGAGTATGAGGGGAAGCGAGCGATTACAAGAGGGGCCCGACTTATCTCGACCGCGGCTACCGACGGAACGAACCGACTTCCGTGCGATGACCTATTCGCTGCTTCCGTGCGCAACCCCGACCACGTTTATCGACCAACCGAATTTAGCCGAGCGACCTCTCGTCCACCGCGAGCGGATCAGTGTAAACTCCCGAAGTGCACCGCATGTTAGACGCCGTGCGAGCAATTCTCATTTTTCTGGCTATAAAATCACGATTGCTCTCGTAACGGTAGAATTTGCGTCATATTGAAGGAGTGGAAGAAATACGGACGAGTTTACGAGTCGTCCTTTAATCTCTCTTTTGACTCTACGTCCGTAGATCGTGAAAGCGACACAGATGAGGGATGTGAACGTAGCCGAAATTTGTTCGATTAATCATGAATTAAGTTTCTCGCTATTAGAAGTCGATATATATTTGCTTTCCTTTAATATTTATAATTTCTATAATGTAGAGTCCTAAATAATCGGAGAAGCGCAATCGGCGTCTCGCTTTCTGATTGGCTGATGTTGAGCCCGTAGTGAATCCTACGTGTAAACTAAAGCCTCGTCTACATGAAAGGCTGATGGCAGACAACTATCCGTGAGTCCCAGTCTACAATAGATGATTTAAGCCCTAAGCTTTAAGAAATTG